TGTGGCAGTACAAACCACCTACTTCATACAGCAGTGTAGAGAAGACAAACATAAGGATTAGAAAGTATTGGAGAAATTTAAAATGACCACTGCTAATTCTGAGTCCTTCTTGGCTGTTCCTGTTGAGATCATCCCTCCCAAACCCATGTGGTAGGATTGTTCATTTGCTTCACCTGTTGAATTGGTGCACAAATAATGTAAGTGTGATAGGAAGGCCTGTGCAATCTGCAGAGTTAGTACTGCAATGGAAACTAGCAATAATATTCCACAAGAGGGGGCATTGTATCTTAGGGAAGAACTATTCATTCTATCTTCTTAAAAATACCAACACGGTACAATAAATGCCCTCCTTTTTTTCTTTTTAAGGCTGATACTATGGATTGATAGTAGATTTGGGAAATTTGGGAAATACATATTCTGTTCATAGGAAAGTGCATCAAAGACAAATACCTACCTGCAAGTGAAAGCCAAAACATAACATATATTTTATCAATTGACTTAATATCTGCAAGAGGAACTTTAATATAAAGAAGTGAACTAAAATTTGAAGGCCACACGCTTCTGGAAAAGCTGACTTTATACATTACTTACAAAGGCCCCACAGCCAGATTTACACCAAGCAAAATGTTTTCTAGAAGTTACACTTGTTCCCATGACAATCTTGTGACCTCTGTAGTTTAATACTCATGAAAGAACAGCTGCTTTTGTGAACAGATGAGTATCAATCCAGTATCTTGTTTGTTCGGGATGAACTCATTTTCTGGTAACAGACTGTATGTTGATTAATATCAGGTGACCACATGTACTGTTTTGGGGAGATCAGTCCTTCATTTGATGGTCTGTCAGAGAACAACCCTCCATTTGAAGCTGGCCTTCATAATGCATAATGCAAAAACATTATCTTCAACAAAATTGGCCCTACTGAGCTATGGCGAGTGGCCACCAAGACAGGCACTTCTATGACTATACAATAAGTTGCCACAATCAATTTGACATTAGAGGCAAGCTCTGTTGTACAACTTGATCCTATGTATGTAGATTCTAAAGTATTGGATGGAATCTACTTCTAAAACAGCATGCATAGGATTGCAGCTTTATTCAGGCTGGAAAATATAAATACTCTCCACCTCCAGGCAATCATACATTCCATGTTAGTGTGACAACAGTAGAGTATGGGAAAACTGCTTTTTTTGAGCCCAAGTAGGACACCCTAAGTTTCATCATTTTTGCCTCCAGAGATAGTTCAGGCTTGAATTGCTCTAGGATGCACTTGTACATCTTTTTGGCAGTCCAGGGTATCTGCAAAGCTCTCCTCCATTACTATATTTCAAACAAATTTATTTTTCCCCTGTCAGCTTTCTTTCCTGTCCAGCTTACACACCCATACGGAATAATCAGAAATATAAGAGTATGAATGATCTTGGTCTTGGCCTCCAGTGACACATCCTTACACTTGATGTTGTTTTCTAATGTTTTCATTGCTGTCCTTCTGAGTGTCTGCCTTATTCTGATTACTTGGCTGCACTGCCCATTTGGATTGATGATTGAACAAAGGTATACAAAAACTTTATCTATTTCAATTTCTTTATTGTTGACATTAAAATTTTGTAGTTCTTTTGTAGTATTGATTTTTGTCTTCATGTTCAGCTGCATTCCTGCTTTGGCACTTTCTTTTACTTTCACTAAAATTCATTCCAACTCATTGTTGCTTTCTGCTAGTAAGATGGTATCATCATATCTTAAATTATTGGTGTTTCTTCCACCAATTTTCACTCCTATTTCATCTGAATTTAGTCCATCTTTCTCTATGATATGTTCTGCATACAGATTGATCCAATAAGGGGGCAAAACCCATCCTTATCTGACAACTTGGCCTATGGGAAACCATTCTGTCTCTCCATATTCTGTCTTAATGGTTCTTGTCCACAATATAGGTTGCACATTAGGACAATCAAGTGCTGAGGCACTCTTGTTTCTTTCAGAACAACCTATAGTTTTTCGTGATCTATGTAATAAAAGGCTTTGCTGTCATCTATAAAGCATAAACTGATCTTCTGAAATTCTTTAGTGCTCTCTGGTAGCCAGTGGATGTTTGCAATATGATCTTGAGTGCCTCTTCCTTCTCACATTTCTTGTTCCATATAAGATAAAAGGCTTTGTTGCAACACCTTGAGAGTCACTTTGCTTACATGGGTAATTACAGCAATCGCCCCATAGTCACTGCACTCCTTCTTCTCTTCTTGGAGACTGGAATGTATGAATTTTGCCAATCTGTGGGCCACTTTTTCCTTTCCCATATTAATTGGGAGGAAGGTTTAATCATTTTAGAAGGTTCTAGGAGTTGTAATCCAAAAAAGTAACTTTCCTATACTCTGCTCCTTTCACAATAACATGAAATACTTGGCTGCTATGGGTGGTTGGGAATGACCTAGTCAAGTGGCCTGCCTCCTCCTCAATGCATTTGTTGAATGTGTGAGTGAATGTCCAATGGATGGAGATTTGAGATGAACCTCTTAAGTACTTTCAGGTAAGATTCTTGCTGTGTGGGTTCCACCACCTGCCAGCTGAAAGCTATTTCCTTCTTCATTTAACAATTAACCTGTTCTCTGTAACAGCTTCACAATGGCTGCCATTTTTGTTTTTTGAACCTGTATGCTGGCTCATTGTAGAAAAAACCCTCAAAGCCATGAAAATAATTGTGCTGGAGAAGCTCTGCCCTCTTTGACTGAGGCCCAACACCAGGCTGTTCTCATTGTTAGGCCCTACAATTGCCAGGTCAGCACCATCCCCTTCTCTGAGGTCCTCATGAATCATATAAATAGAGCAGCCAAGAGTGAGGAGGAGGTCCACAATTGCTTCAGGACCAGCTTGTGGAAACAGCCATGAGAAGAATCGAGGGAAATGGACCCAGTACCTGGATAACGCCCAGCTAACCAAGTAATATGGCAACCCAGAGTCAGGAGCAAAACTATCAACAACAGACAATCATTTGGTAGCTGGGCAGGCTGTAAAGTGCATCCAGCAACTGCAGTGGCATTTCTGCTTGGACTGGTGTCCCATTCAGGCTTACCTATGGTGTATATCAGTGGTTCTTAACCTTGGGTTACTCAGGTGTTTTTGGACTGCAACTCCCAGAAGCCTTCACCACCAGCTGTGCTGGCTGGGGTTTCTGGGAGTTGCAGTTCAAAAACACCTGACTAACCCAAGGTTAAGAACCACTGGTGTATATGACACTGTAAGAAGTTGTTACAGACTCTAACAGCTGCTGAGATTTGAGGAAGTCTCACTGACAGCACAGTAGGAGGTTCTGCCCACCTACCCCCTGCACTACTGCTGACGGGTCTTGTACCGGAGGACTCACGAGAAGGCTTTTAACTCAGGCAGAGCTTAGAAACTTCAGCATGAACATTGCACTGGAAATTAATTTATTAATGTTAATCATTTTAGTGAAACGTATAGAATTAAATCATCATATGTATCCTTATTGATGTGTACCTTTTCAATTTATCAAAAATCAATTTATGTTACTGAAAGCCCAATAAATGAGTTCAAAATGTCACAAAAGGAATATAAAGGGAAGAGTTAATAATTACTCCAACCATGATTAAAATAATCATGGTTTAAAGAAGAATATGGGCTAGCAAATTAATTTCCAACAAATGATTTCCCAGCTTTGTA